CATCTGTTTAACAGGGAGATGATGTCATACTCGAGGCAGTGTCTTCTCTCTCTGCATCAGAGGAAGAGGAAGTTGAGGAGGCCGGAGACAGCGAGAATGACATCAGAGAGCTCAAGGCACGACGCCATGTCCTTGCCAATAAACTGGCACAGCAACAAAAGCGAAGGGATAAAATAAAGGTAAAACAGGCTTTCACGTCCTAATATAGTAGAGTCTGAAGTTGTCGCAGAGTTGAATGTCATGTAAAATATAAATGTGTGTGTTCCAGGAGGTGCTGCAGACTGGCGGGCAGTTGGAGCTTGAAGTGAGGCCTCTCTTTCTGGTTCCAGATACAAATGGATTTATTGATCATTTGACAGGGCTGAAGAAACTCCTGCAGTGTGGAACATACATAATAGTTGTGCCACTCATCGGTAAGAATAACAAACACAGACAAAGAGAAGAGGAAATGAATAAAAGCAGGTGGAGGAGGATTAGCTTTTAGTTCAGTGACATTTAAAATGATAAGGATTCCACATACATTTCCATGTAGAAATCATATGTATGCTCATGACGTGGTCTGTTTTCTCTCTGTCAGTGATTACAGAGTTGGATGGCTTGGCTAAAGGCCAGGACAGTTTTGGTGGAGGAGTGGAGTCAGGAGGGCGCAACTATAGTGTCAGTGCGGCCCATGTGAGGGCTGTGCAGGAGAAGGCTCGGATGGCGGTGGCTTTCTTAGAAAAAGGATTCGAAGCCAGAGAACAGTGCCTCAGAGCTCTAACAAGCAGAGGAAATCAACTTGAGTCTATTGCCTTCCGTAGTGAGGATATGTCTGGGCAACAGGTAGAAACCCAGATTAATTAAATACAAATTAAAGCCTGTTTCTTTTGCTTAGAAGCAAAGGTTGGCTTCTTAAATCTGTTGTTTTTTGCTAACTGAATGGTCTCTTCCTTTTCAGGGTAACAATGATGATATTATTCTGTCCTGCTGTCTTCACTACTGCAAAGACAAGGCTAAAGATTTCATGCCTCATCAGAGAAGTATGTAGCATTAACCTACCATTTGCTCCATGTGTGCATTCATATTTCCTCACATTCATGCATATGCATTAAAAAGTGTTTATTTCTTACTCCTCTCTGGCTTCCTGCTTCAAAAACAGATGGCACCGTGAGGCTCCAGAGAGAAGTGGTACTCCTCACAGATGACCGTAACCTCCGTGTCAAAGCTTTGACCCGCAACGTACCTGTGCGAGACATCCCTTCTTTCCTCAGCTGGGCCAAAGTGGGCTGAACCAGAGTAAGCCTAAATACAAGGAACCCAACTGCTGAAGTCTGCTTGTCAGTCAGCCAAGAGAGAAGACACACTTGAGCGGAGGAAGATAACAGGGGACAGGAAATGATAAAGAAAGTAAAGAACCACTTCTTATGAAAAACAAGCAAATGTAGAGAGAGCAGAGTGGTTTCAATTAGCTTTTCCCCCTTGTGACAAAGTAAGTGTGTGTATGTGTGTGTTAAGATCAGAGAGCTTCCCTGGAGAGAGGCAGGAAAGACTTAAGTCTCAGAAAGGCTGGAGTGGAAAGGAGGAAAAATGGAGTGAATTGATTTGTAGGTTGCCCTGTCCAGCCGCAAACCTCTGCTCCTATTTATCGTATGCTCTGCAGGCAGTGTTAAAATTTGAATCTGATGATAGAATGAGCCAGAATGGGGGAAGAGTGTCTATGGTCATTTAATTGATTAAAGACAGCATCACTGAAGGCCATAAATGGCACTTGTACCCCTCTCTGAGGGCCCAGGCTTAGATAAAGCTTCAGCCTAAACAGCAGAGCTAAGAGAATGGCAGGAGGAAATGGCCACAGCTGGGTGGTCTGTGTCAATACAGTTTAAAAAAAAAAAGCAGCTGATATTAGGTGGGGGGGGTTAATCAGGAGCCTTCATGCAAACTCAGCACTTCCACGGAATCCCATGCAGATATGGCATTTCCTGCCAGGAAATGCTTGATGCCTGTTTGGTATCTTGGGTTATTCCTCCAGATTGACACTAACAGTTTTTGTTTGTTTTTGTTTCTTTGTAAAGTCAACGGCAACATCGGATATGGTTTAGTTTTCTGTTTGTACTTTTTTTTTAATTTTTTTTTTTTTTTACCTGTTGTAAAATATGTTGTTCTTAAAAGCTGTTAGCTCTGATAATAAACATCTGCAAAGTTTTCCTAAAAAGATCTGCTAATTAAGCAAATCCAGTTTTAATTTAAGTCAGGGTGAAAATAGAGTTATAAGTACTCCGAGAGCATCATTTTATTGATCAAACATCAGCACCGACTCGAGCCGTTGAAGACAAATTAGACGCTATTCTGAAATGCACATAAATCTGTGTGATGGAATTTGTGCTTATACAAATATAATGGGAAGGGCTTTGATTCCCTGGCACAAAAGGGGAGTAAATAAAAACTCAGACATCAGAAACCATCACCCTTTTTGTCAAATTGTCATTTTGTTGCTTTGAAGGGTGGATTTGTTTGTTTTGTGTTAGGTTTTCAGTTCTAGAAAATAGGATTTCATTTAAGTGGCATTCGGCCCATATATGGCTTTAAACAATATGAAGCGCAGGATTACAAACGCTCGCTGACCCGGCCCATCGTGTGTCATGCTCTGATCCTTTGCAAAGACTTTGCAGAATTTTTATTATCAAGTATAGACTTGTGAATTTATTTGTGCTGTTTTGTTTAAACCACCGCAGCAGGTTACGGTTTCAGTAGCTTTCCTCTCATTACATTATTTGTATAGTTAGTGTTCTTATTTTCAGTGTGACTTTGCCTTTCAGTTTACAAGCACGCTTTTCTAGTAGCTGAAATACATAAACATAGGTTTCAAAATTACCGTGAAAATCAGGCGGCAGACATGTAACAAAAAAACAAAGAAAAAAAAAGTGTTGTGCTTTTTGTTGTAGCTTTAAAAGACAGTCTGGATGCTTTAGATTTGTATTTGTGTCACAATATATGTCAGAAACTACACTTATTCATCATTCACTCATCCCAGTTCAGATCTTTGGATTTAAAATGTTATTGAACTTCTTTCCGTCTTCCATCGCTCATTGACGTTTATGTATTTGTATGAGCTGTCTGCTAGGTTTACTCGTCTTTTTCAGACCCTCTGTTTTGGTGCTGCTGTAGTATTAAGTGCAGCCTGTTGTGTTAAGTGGGCATTGCTGCTGTGTTTTAGTGTTGGAGCAAATGTAGTGCTGTAAGCAGCTTAACTCAAATGACTTTTCCCTTCATCCGTCATTAAAAATGTTTTAAAGGCTTTGTTTTCACCTCATTGGCGAGCAGATGAAGAATGCCAGGATGTAGAATATGTTTTTCTTGGCCTGTAATGAACAGACAGGGTAACATCCTCCTAGCAATGACTAACAGTGCCTCCATTGTTAGAGTCTGCCAGTATGTGTACAATGCCAAGACCCTGAAACTGAACAAACTAAATGCAGATCATTGATTTTCTTCTTCATACATGAGATTCGAAGAATGTCTGTATTTAGGGGTCTTTGTCCTCATTTAAAGCCGGCTATGGAATACCAAAAGCTTCACATGTGTGCCCTCGTGTGGTAGCTGAAGATTACACAGGTGGGAGTGATGGAACAACAGCCGTGATGTATATAAGACCTGTGGGTGTCTTGATAAATGTTTGCTTTAAACAAAACAATTGGCAAACTGATGAGTCAGGTAAATCAGTTATCATAAACAACATAAATTGGAAATCTCTAGGAGGGGAAAAGAGATGTAAGGTCCATAATCCTCAGACACCCCCAGAAGACAGTCTACATAGTTATAGACTTAATGTGGTATAACTTTAAATTTGTGGTGTAAATGGAAATTCAGCTACTGCACTTTTAAGTAGCAACGGTGTAAAATGAGTGCCCGGGGGGTGCTTCCTGGTAGTCCCTGCCACATGACCACAAGCATCTGTTTGTGCATGTATCTCTGGGAAACATGAGGGCAGATGATTCTTCAGTGCATCTCTACACAAGAACACATCTCAAATATGTTCAGTTCTAGTTTGAACAAACCCAAATGCGTCATTACACTCTGAGTGTGGGTGAAGAGGGGGGGAGATAGATAGATAGATAGATAGATAGATGGATAGATTGATTTATCTGCGCATCATGGCCTGCGAGATCTGCAGCCTATCCATCTGTATCAGTGTACTTCTGCGCCTGGATACAGACCACACAGGCAGGACCTGATTCCCATCATCATGACAACAGGGATGCCAAGCAACCAATCATAGCCCTTCGAGTTCTGCTCTGGAAGCTGATTGGCTTCCCAGCCTGCAGCCTGTTGTGGAATGTCCATCTTTAACCTCTCTGCTGCCAAGCACAGCGCATATACATCCTATATCGCAGTACGGAGTACTGCTGCATGTGTGAGCTTCCTCTGAATTATTGGTAAAGCTTTGTGTACGCCACAGCTGGAACATCTGAATGACATCCATTGTTTTTTGGCAGCGTAAATAAAAACCCACGCGTGTGCTGCTCCCCTGATGTAAACACAGCATGACTGATCATCTGTCATCTGCACGAACCTGCTTCGTATTTTATTCCAGGTCGACCCGGAGTATTCCGTAAATCTCACAGAGCACAAACTGGGGAGGAGGGGAATCTTGTAGTTACACAATAATGTCATTATAATAGACTATGCACAATTTCTCCATAGCTGTATGCTAGAATTAAGTCCTCGTAAATAAACTCTACTCTTTCCATTTTTCCAC